CGTCGCGACGTCCTCTGGCGCCTCGAGGTCCGAGGGGAACGCCTGGCGCCGCCGCCCGGAGGTCAAGCGCGGCCCCTTCTATCAAGAGCTGGCGCACCCCAGCTGGGCGCCTCTGCTGCCGCATGCGGAGGCCAGCCAGGGGCGTGCATCGGTTCTGGCGAAGTGGCCCAAGTGCAGGCGAGCGGATTCTTCACCCAACCAGGCGACAGCTCCCTGAGGAGAGAGTGGCAGGAGGAGGAGGAGGAGGAGGACGACGACGACGACGACGACGAGGAGGACCAGAGTAAATCCCAAAGTTATCAACGATGTTGGACTAAACCCTCTTTCCAAGCTCCCTCTTCGCAGGCCCGCACAACGGATCATTTGTATAGAGGGAACTGCTTCGTTGGAAGATAGCAACTTGAAGACCCTGAAGCATGCCAAAACATTGTTCTCGAGATTCCAACGCCACGGATCAGCCTGACTGTTGCGTTTTGACGATCCTGAACCATGCCATGACGCCTTCGTCGGGACTTCAACACCGCGAACCAACGCAACTGTTGCACCCGCATAATTCGGAATCTGTCCAAAGAGCCTTTTTTTTTCTGGCACTTGATGATGGGAACCCGTGAAACTCTTGCAAATGTTAGAAACGAAAGTGCGCGTCGCTACGACAGGAGCCACATGTTGAAAAAGGAGCCGCCCTCAATCCGTGAACCTCCTGCAAATTTTTAAAACGAATGTGCGCGGCGCTGAGGCGAGAACCACATTTTGAAAACGGGTCGCCCTCAATCCGTGAAGCTCTTGTGAATTCTCGAAACGAATGAGCGCGGCGCTAAAGCGAGAACCACATTTTGAAAACGGGTCGCCCTAAAACCGTGAAGCTCCTGCAAGCGTTTAAAGTCAGTGCGCGCGGCGCTCAGGCGAGAATCACATATTGAAAATGGGTTGCCCTCAATCCGTGAAACGCTTGCAATGTTTAAGAACGAATGTGCGCAGCGCTGAGGCGAGAGCCGCGTTTTGAAAACCACCTAACCTCCATGTGAATTTGCTGTCGCGTTCTAAGCATCAGGGTCATAAGTGCGAGAAAATATCCGGCGAAACGCGCGGCCCGCCCCAACAACTTGCCTCGGGGCGCGACAGGGAGAATTGTTTTACAAGGGAAAGGAGCGGAAGAGGAGTTACGGAATTACGGATATTGCGACCATGTCGGTTACGACTAAGCCCCGCCCGCTCAGAGGACCTCGGAGAGATTGCGAAGCGATACGTACATGGGCACTCCTCCCCCTGATCACGACGAGGGCCGCGACGACCAGGAAGCCCCGCACCAGGACAGAGTAGCCGTTCACCATCTTGCGCGAGACGCTCGTGTCCCTCCAGCTCTCGATGTCCAGGGGCGAGATGAGAAGCCCGAGAAGCAAAATGAATTGAAACGGCAAGAGCGCTTCTGACACCGAGCAAACAGCGAATAGACAGTCCCACAAGCAAGAACAGACAGTAATATATATATATATATATGCCTCTCTTGCCCTGTGGGCCTGCGTCAGGCTCAGCCGAAATACAACCAAGCCCCTCCGATGCCGCGGAGAAGAACCCGATTCCTGCAGTGGCCCGAACAAAATGCCCGAGCGAAAAAGTCCACCCACAAAAACACATAGCTACCGGTTCTTGCAATCGTCGTTTGGCGTTGAAGTAAGGAGTGAAGCAGACGTGGAAGGCTGCCCTTGCTGTTCCGTAGCCCTGTTCAACTCGGCCAAGACATCTGACGTGAAAGCGAAAGCCTCACCTTGCCGACGGTCAGACTCGGCAGCAGCGGTTCTGGACCGCAAAATCTCGCCATCTGCAACCAGCGCCGCGCACCGCCTGGCCCATGCGCCGCCGTCGGCCGACGGCACGCCAGGGCGGGGCTGTGGGGGATCCCCTCCTTCAGCACGTGGTGCGCCAGGCTGTTCGGCCGCAAATGCCACAACCTTCGGAGAAAGGTGACCAGCGTCACGGGCACCTCCAGGGGCTGCCAACTCCACCTCGCCGCCCGCCTGCACCGCCTCGCCATCCCTCCCCAGGGCAGCCTTCTCCCGCGGGGGCCCTGCTGAGGCTGCGGGTAACCGCGAGGTCGATGCTGGTGCCGGCGACGCGCCAGCCTGCTCGCCCTCAGGCGCCGGGCCTGGAGGAGGTACAAGACGGGCTCCATCGGCTGCACCAGCCGGCTCGCCAACCAACGCTTGGCGGAGCGCTTGGGCGAGGCTCGTCAGGCCCTGGCCCCTGTGCCGTTCGATCTCCGTGAAGGCGTGCAGGAGCCGCATGGCCGCGCGCCCATCCGCACGTGCATACTGAGCTCGGCGCTCGGCCGCAGTGCGATTGGGCCGGCGGCGCCGCGGCGCCTGATCCATGCCGAGGCCGGAGCGCGAGGAGAGAGAAAATGGTCGGAGCGGGAGCTCCTATGGTGCTGGCTTGGGATTCGAGCCAGACTGGCTCGAGCCAAGCTGGTCACTAGGAGCGGAAGAGGAGGAGGAGGAGGAGGAGGAGGAGGAGGACGCCACCTCCTCCTGGGCAAGCGTGGATCTCCACGCCACACGGGGTGGAAGTGCTTGGCCCTTGAGCCCCGGCGGCCACAGTATGGAGGGGGGAAGCGGGGGAAGGGGAAGAAGGGGGGAGATGGGGGGGATAGGGAAGCGCAACGGCATGGGGGGAGGTCGGAAAATCGGTGAGGAGGCAGGAGGGGCGGGGCGGGAGGGAAGGGGATTAGGCAGGAGGAGCGGGGGGGAGGTCAGGGGAGGGGAGAGAGGCGGGACATGGGAAAGGCTGATTAGTGACGCGAGGGGAGAGGGAAGTGATGGTGAGAAAAAGGATCAAAGAGAGAGCCACTGAGTTGCTGAAAACGGGCAGCCCGCGTCCTCGGTCCCCAACATATACATTACCGTTGCTTATAGACTGCTCAGGCTATATCCTCCTGGCGCGCATGCGTCGTCACGCGCACGCATGTGTAAAGTCATAGTCAGTCCATGCAACGGCCCGTGCGAGTGTATGAACTTGTGTTCGCATCTGCTGAATGACGCTGATCAGGAGTCGCGCGCGTACGTGGCCCGCTGGGTATCATTTGACAAGGTTGGTGTTCGTTCAGCGCGCGTGCGTGGCTCGCATTTGCACCATCTGGCACGGGAAGCAGGCGGCCCCAGCATCGAATCGATAAGCCGGATCGGGTTGGCCGGAGCATCGAATCGGCAGAAGTCGGCAAAAGCCGGCAGCCAAATCGAAATCGGCTGAAGTCGGCACGGCCAAGCCGGATCGAGTCGGAAACCGGACCGCGTCAAGCCGGATCGGAATCGAAATCGGAAACCCCCCCTGGGGGGGTTTGGGTTTTTTGAAACCCCCCCTGGGGGGGGTTTGGGTTTTTTTGAAACCCTCCCTGGGAGGGGGGTTGGGTTTTTGGAAACCCCCCCTGGGGGGGGTTTGAGGTTCCGGGTTTTTTTTGAACCCCCCCCTGGGGGGGGGGTTTTTTGGAACCCCCCCCTGGGGGGGGTTTGGGTTTTTGGACCCCCCCCCTGGGGGGGGGGGGGGGTTGGAACCCCCCCCTGGGGGGGGTTTGGATTTTTGGAACCCCCCCCTGGGGGGGTTTGGTTTTTTGGACCCCCCCTGGGGTGGGGGGGGGGGGAAACCCCCCCTGGGGGGGGGGTTTTTGGAACCCCCCCTGGGGGGGGGTGGGTTTTGGACCCCCCCCTGGGGGGGGGGGGGGTTTTACCCCCCCCTGGGGGGGGGTTGGGTTTTTGGAAACCCCCCCTGGGGGGGGGGGGGGGTTTTGGAAACCCCCCTGGGGGGGTTGGGTTTTTGGAACCCCCCCCTGGAAGGGGGGGGGGGGGTTTGGAACCCCCCCTGGGGGGGGGTTTGGGTTTTGGAAACCCCCCCCTGGGGGGGGTTTGGGTTTTTGGAACCCCCTCTGGGGGGGGTTTGGTTTTTGGACCCCCCCCCCTGGGGGGGGGGGGGGGTTTGGAACCCCCCCCCGGGGGGTGGGTGGGTTTTTGGAAACCCCCCTGGGGGGGGTTTGGGTTTTTGGAAACCCCCCCTGGGGGGGGGTTGGACTCCCCCCTTGGGGGCCAGAGCCGGAGCGAAGCCGGATCGGCAAAAGCCGGCAAAAGCCGGATGACGCATCGAATCGGCAGAAGCCGGATCGGGCGAACTCGAAATCGGAATCGCGAATCGGAATCCTGGAATCGAGTCGGTTCGAAATCGGAATCGCGGAAATCGATTCGATTCGAACCGGCGGAATCGGAATGACCCCTGCGGGAAGTGAGCCCGTGTCGCCAGCGCGGTCTCGCTAAACAAGGTGCGTGCTGTCCCGGGGCGGGATCCGGCCCGGCAGGGCCCATGGGGGGCTTGAGGCCAAGGCTCATCTGAATAGGGATGAAGCTCGAGGGGGCATGTGCGAGGCGAGGTGGAGGGAAAAGGGGCGCAGGGGGGCAGCGGGAGGCGCAGGGCGGGGTGGGGAGGTGAGGGGTAGGACAAGGGAAGGGAATGGAAGGGAAGGGAGAGATGTGGAGGGTCTGAGGGGAGGCGAGGGGACGGGACGGAAGGGGAGGCGCACGCACGGGTGGTGGGGGGGGAATGGGGAATGGGCAGGGGGGTGGCGCTCGTGGAAGGTCGGCGGGTCCGAAAGCGAGGCGGGAGATAATTAGGGTATATATCACTCGCTTTTCGCGCACGTGACGGGCTCGCGGTAACAAAAAGAGCGCGCGCACGCACGCACGCACGCACGCACGCACGCACGCACGCACGCACGCACGCACGCACGCACACACGCACGCACGCACGCACGCACGCACGCACACACACACACACCTACGCGCACGCACACGCACACACACGCACACGCACACGCACACGCACACGCACACGCACACGCACATGCACACGCATACGCACACGCACACGCACACGCACACACACACACACACTCCCAAGCGAGCGCGCGTCGGCATCTGTTGAGTTGAGGAGAGAGGTGAGGGGAGGGGAAACTGTAGCGCGTCCTGCGTAACGTGAATGTTGCTGTCCATCCAATTGGTGACAGTGGACTCGCGCAACCGCGCGTCCTGATGCTCGGTTTGCGGAAAAGGTAAACAACGAAACTTTAAGAGAGGAGGCCAGGGCAAACTGGATGTCATGGATACATTGAGGCTGCGCGGGGGATGAAGGATGGTAACCTGACAACCGCGCATCCTGATGCTCTGTTTCGGGTAAGGGATGAAACGATGAAACATGAAACTTCATTACTGGATATTTTTGATACATTGAGGCTGCGCAGGGGAGGAAGGATGGTGAGCTCACGCAACAATAACAGCCTGCGGTTTTCATCATCGCGCAACCGCGCATCCTGATGTTCGGCTTCGGGAAATGAATAAACGATGAAACATGAAACCTCAAAAGAGGAGGCCAGGGCGTACTGGATATCTGTGATACATTGAGGCTGCGCCGGGGAGGAAGGATGGTAAGCTGGCGCAACAATGAGAGCCTTCGGTTTTCATCTCGTGCTCGCCTCCCCTACCCTCCAAAAATGGGCATCGGCTTTTGGTTCCGCGCGAGCCAACTCTCTCTATCTCTAATCCACTCGAGCCACCTCTGCTTATCCACCCGAGCCTGTGCACCTCTACCCCATAGATCTAAATGTGTTCTTTGGGGGGAAGGGTGGAGGAGTGAGTCTTGGGGCACACTTTTGCCTTTTGGATTGGACGGGAGAAGGATGGGAGGGCGAGAGAGAGAGAGAGAAGAAAGAGAGAGAGAGAGAGAGAGAAACAAAAAAAGAGAAAACATCAACAAACACTAACGAAAAAGAGATAGAGATACATAGTGGTGTATATACGCGTATATATGTATATGACTACGGAAAACAGAGCGGGAGAGAGAGAGAGAGAGAAAAGCAAATTAACTAGAGAGAGAGGGGGAGGGAGAGAGGGAGGGAGGGAGAGAGGGAGAAGGAAGACGGAAGACGGAATCAGAGAGGGAGGGAGGGAGGAAATGGAGGACTCGAGCTCTTCGCAATCGAGCCTGCCTCCTCCCTCCCGAGAGGGGGCGCTCCTCCAGCCAAGCAGTGCCGTTGCTGGACTCTCTGCCAGCGAGGCCGACCCAGAACATCTGGCCTGGCCCGCGACCCCCAGGATGAGGAGGGGGAGGAGGGGGAGGGAGGAGGAGGAGGAGGAGGAGGAGGAGGAGGAGGAGGAGGAGGAGGAGGAGGAGAAGGAGGAGGAGGAGGAGGAGGAGGAGGAGAAGGAGGAGGAGGAGGAGGAGGAGGAGGAGGAGGAGGAGGGGGAGGGCGGGGAAGAGGAGGCGGAGGCGGAAGGGCAGCAGCAGGAGGGCGGGAAGGAGGATTCGGAGGAGAGGGGACGAGTGGAAGGCTCCGAGGAGGCGGCGGAAGAGGAGGCGGAGGCGCAGGGCGGAGCCAGAGGACAGGAGCACACGTGGGAAGCGGCACCCCACGGCGCAGCTCGCCCGCTGGCCGAGGGCTCTCCGCGGCGAGAGCGGCGAGCGTCCCAGAGACCCTCCCGAAGAACAGCCCCCGCTCCAGGCCGCCCCCGTCCCGGAGTTGCGAAGGGGGCGGGGGGGAAGCGCAGCGAGAACGAGCGAGGACAAAACGGGTTGCAGATGAGGAGGAGGAGGCGGGTGGATGAGGAGGCGGAGGAGGAGGAAGAGGAGGAGGAGGAGGAGGAGGAGGAGGACGACGACGGCTCCTGTGCCGTCTTGGAACGATCCTGGGGGCCTCTCGTTGGAGGCCTGGAAATTGGCACCAACACCAGCACAGGGGGTTGCCTCCACAGGGGGAAGGTGATCCTAGATGTCGGTGCTGGTGGTAATATTTCGGCCGCCTTGGAAGCCAAACTATCATCACCATCACCGAGACCGGAATCCTCATCCCTCGGTGGAGGCACGCCGCCGATATTGGTGTTGGTGTCAATCTCGAGGCCTGCGATCTCGGGAAGTAGTGGACGCTGTGAAGACCGGAGCGGCAGATATGCTACGAGTGCACGCCTCCCCCAATACATTGCGTGCCGCGGGGCCTCCTGTGCCGTCTTGGGGCAATCCTGGGGGCCTCTCGGGCCGTCGTGGACGCTGCTGAGAGCGAAGAAGCGGATATGTTGAACATGCACGTTTTCCTAAAAAGGGGATGTGACGATGCTTGCCTCTTGGGCGTCCTTTCAGAGGCAGTGTGGAGCGTCTTGGGGGCCTCTTTGGCCGTCGTGAGGCCATCTTGGGCCCTCTCTGAGCGTTCTGGGACCGTCTGGGGGCCCTCTTGGGCCTCCCAGGGTATCTTGGGCGCCCTTGGGGCTGACTTGGGCCGTCTGAGGCCGAACATGGCGGAAATTTGGCGATTAGATCTGGAGGTGGCGATGCAAACCCCCTCGCACTCCCCCTGGTTGCTTCTCCCAAATGGCGGATCGCGACGCTACGCGCGCTTTCCGTCACCCGCTTGGCACGGGGACTGAAAGCGCTATACTCTGCAAAGGCGCGAGGTCGCTGTCCCAATGTCTTGGAGCCCTCTTGGTGTTAAGACTTTGGTACGTCATACAACAACTGACAACCAACCTTGCGACAATCAATGCGTATGGCCTCTCTTGGCCTTTTTGAGGATCCTTTGGGGGCTGCTTTAGGTCATCTTGGGGTCCTCTTTGTTCGTCCTGGGGCCCTCTTGGACTGTCTTAGGGGGGCTTGGGCTGCCTTGGGGCCCTCTTGGGCCCCTCTGGGGCCCTCTTGGGGATCTCCTGTGGCCCTCCTGGGCCGTCTTAAGGCCGACTTCGGGGCCTCTTGAGCCGTCTTGGGGTAGTCCTGCGGGCCTTTTGGGCCGTCGTGGACGCTGTGAAGACCGAGGAAGAACATATGCTAAACATACACGTTTTCTTAAAAAGGGGATGTGGCGATGTTTGCCTCTTGGTCGTCCTTTCGGAGGCCTCGTGGAGCCCCTTGGGGGCCTCTTTGGCCGTCTTGAGGCCAGGTTGGGCCGGCCCTCTTTGAAAGCCTGGGCCGTCTTGGGGCCCACTTGGGCCTCCCTGAAGCCGTCGTGGAGGTAGCTTGGGCGCTCTTGGGGTTGTCTTGGGCCGGCCAGGGCCGAACATGACCGAACATTTGGCGATTACACCTGCTTGACACGGGGACGGACAATGCTCGTACTCTGTGCTCTGTGAGTGCACGGGATCGCATGCTCAATGTGTTGGAGCCCTCTTGGTGTTAAGACTTTGGCACGTCATGCAAAATACTAACAACCAACCTTGCGCGAATCAATGAACATGGCCTCTCTGGGCGTTCGTGGGTGTCCTTGTGGGGCTGCTTCGGGCCGTCTTGGGGCCCTCTTGGTTCATCCTGGGGCCCTCTTGGGCTGTCTTGGGGAGCCTGGGCCGTCTTGGGGCCCAAAGCAGCATAATTACGTGCTAAGACCAAAGCAGCAGGGTCGGGGGTCAGGGTCGCAGCATGCGCCGGAGCGCGCCCCACGAGGGCTGCTGTGCGCGCGGCAGCACACGAGCCGCTCCGCTGCTGCTGCCACCCCTCGCTGACAATCCTCACACGCGCCTGTTGACGACATATTATGATCTATCCAATTGCTCTTGACATTCTCGCACGCGGCACAGAAAGTATGACAGAGAACTGTGGCAGGCAGGACACATGATGCGTAGTCAGCCCATCTCTTCGCAGGTCGTCCTGTTGTCCTCGAAAACCGGAAGGGGTCACTACCAGTTCCAACCCCTCCCCCCGCCAGTCCCAATCAATCATGAAAAGGGGGGGGGTCACTACCAGTTCGAACCCCTCCCCCCTCCCCTCGAAAACCGGGGGGGTCACTACCGATTCGACCCCACCCCCCTCGAAAACTGGGTGGGGTCACTACCAGTCCGAACCCCCCCCACGCCCCTCGGCGCCAGCAAACGATTCCCGCTCCTCGGGACAGTTGGACAGTGGTGGGGATACTGGGACAGTGGTGGGGACGGTGGTGGTGGGGACAGTGGTGCGGGGACAGTGGGACAGTGGTGCGGACAGTGGTGGGGACGGTGGTGGTGGGGACAGTGGTGAGGGGACAGCGGGACAGTGGTGGGGGCGGTGGGACAGTGGTGGGGACGGTAGTGGTGGGGACGGTGGTGAAGGCGGTGGTGAGGACGGTGGCGGGACAGTAGTACAGTGGAGAGAGTGGTGGGGAGAGCGGGGCCAGTGGGATAGTGGTGGGGACAATGAGGACAGTGGGACAGCACAGTGGGACAGCGGCTGGGATAGTGGGGACAGTGGAACAGTGGTGGGAACAGTGGGACAGTTGTGGGGACCGTGAGGGAAGTGGGGAGAGTGGGACCGTGGTGGGACAATGGTGGGGAGAGTGGGGACAATGAGACACTGGTGGGGGCACTGGTGGGGACATCGGGGACAATGGTGGGAACAGTGAGGACAGTGGGACACTGGTGGGGACTGTGGGACAGTGGTGGGGACGGTGGTGGTGGGGACAGTGGTGTTAGGACAGTGGGAATGCGGTGGGGACATTGCGACAGTGGTGGGGACAGTGGTGGTGGGGACAGTGGTGAGGGCGGTGGCGAGGACGGTGGGAGAGTGGGACCGTGGTGGGACAATGGTGGGGAGAGTGGGGACAGTGAGACACTGGTGGGGACACTGGTGGGGACATCGGGGACAATGGTGGGAACAGTGGGACAGTGGTGGGAACTCTGGGACAGTGGTGGGGGCGGTTGTGGTGGGGACAGGGTGTTGGGACAGTGGGAATGTGGGGACAGTGGGACAGTGGGGACAGTGGTGGTGGGGACAGTGGTGAGGGCGGTGTCGAGGACAGTGGTGGAGACAGTGGCGACAGTGGTGGGAACAGTGGGACAGCTCAGTGGGACAGCGGCGGGGACAGTGGGACAGTGGGACAGTGGGACAGTGGGACAGTGGGACAGTGGTTGGGACCGTGGGGAAAGTGGGGAGAGTGGGACCGCGGTGGGAACAGTGGTGGGGACAGTGGGGACAGTGCGACAGTTGGAGCACTGGTGGGGATAGTGGGGACGGTGGTGGGAACAATGGGGACAGTGGTGCTGGGGACAGCAGTGGGGGATGTGGTGCGGGCGGTGGTGGGGACCCGGGTGTCATTTGCCGGGGTGAGTGGGAAGGGAGGGGGGGGATGTGAACTGGTAGTGACCCCCCTCGGTTTTCTGCAGGGGTTCGGACCGGTAGTGATCCCCCCCCCCGGTTTTCTGGAGAGGGGGGGGGGTCGAACTGGTAGTGACCTCCCCCCGGGTTTCTGGATGGGGGGGGGGGGCAGGGGCTGGAACCAGTAGTGGCACCCCCGGCTTTCCGGAGGGGGGGGTTAGTAGGGAGTGGGGAGTTTGGCTGGGGGACAGGGGCGGGGTCCAGCAGGAGGGGGGGGGACATTTCGGAGGGGGGTGGGGGGGACCCCCCGGGTTCCGGAGGAAGAGGGGGGAATTTTCCACAGTAAGCGGCGGTGGATCACGCTCTCTCTCTCTCTCGATGCTGATGCTGATGCTGTTGCTGTTGCTGATGCTGATGCTGATGCTGATGCTGATGCTGCTGCTGCTGCTGCTGCTGCTGCTGCTGATGATGATGATGATGATGATGATGATGATGATGATGATGATGATGATGATGATGATGATGTTGTAGACGATGATGATGGTGATGGCGATGGTGATGGATGATGGTGAATGGTGATGAACGGTAGTGAATGATGATGGTGATGACTATGGAGGATGAACCATGAATCATGAACAACGAATAGTGAATGATTATGGTGATGGTGATGGTGATGATGATGCTGATGATGATGACGATGATGATGATGACTTTTGTTTTGCCGAGGCATCGGCACTCTGGCCTCTGGCCGAGCTTTCAGGCGCTGGCACTGTCTGGCCGAGCTTTCCAAGCATAGCAATGCGAAATCGCAGCGGCACTTTCTGGCCCAACTTTCCGCACCGGCACTGTCGAGCCGAGCTTTGCAGGCGTAGCGATGCAACATCGCATGCTGGTCATGAAGCGCAAGAAAAGAGATGCAGCGAGTGTCTAGACCCTAGACTCCTCGGCAGCTGTAGATATCAATGCTTCCCACTCCTCTGCATTCCGAGGCGTGCTCTCCTTCAACGTGGAGAACGTCTTGGAGCTGCTAGGCCGAGCATCATCCCTCCTCTCCTCCTCCCCCTCCTTCCTCTTTCCCCAACCTTGCGGCCTGCCGAGGAGGCTCGCCAGGCTTGCTGAGCGCTCGCAGAACATATCCTGGCGAAGGACCCGACCAGATGCAGTAGGGAGTACCGCAGCTGTGACTATGGCCCTGGCTGGCTCTCCAAAACAGGGGCTCAACACCACACGATGGGCCTTGCACTCCGAGTCACATGCGGGATGTGCAACCGTTGGATTCAAGGTAGATCCCGGCCGGATGCAGGAAAAAAGGATCACTGGCGAGGGGCAGGCACGCGCCGGTGACAAAGCCGAACAATCGTCACAACGAACTGCAACACCAACAATCCGACTATGCACAGTGAACTTCGAGTCTCGTGCTCGATGTGTAACCGTAGAATCCGATCCAGATCCCGGAGGGAAGAAATCACTACGAATCATCATTTGCGACAACTTGCGACGGGTGAGTGCGCGCCGTTGACTCCGAAAGCCTTCGACTGAACGGTACGATTACACACAAGAGTCCGGAACAGCGCCAAAACATCCGTTCGCATTGCAATCCGAGTCTCCTGCTCGATATGCAACTGTTGCAACCGAGGTATATTCCAACCGACACAAAGTTTGCGACGACAGGGGCCTCTTTGCATTCGAGACCCGCCGACCCCCTTGTGGGGTCATCAGGCGTGTGAAATTCTATCCCCCCCTAACCCCCCCACCGGACCAACTGCCCGCACCCCCCCTTTGAGACCTCCGTTTCCATAGCGGCCCTGTTTACCAGCCTCGAACGTATCCCTATCCCTAAGATGGACACACCCAAAGGCGATGACAATCTTAGGGACGCGCCCTCAAAAGAAGGGGGAATCCCTAAGATTGGCATCGTGATGAGGTGCCCAGCATAAGGATGGGGATCTGTTCCAGGCTGGTAACCGATAGAATGGTGCAAGGCGCCCCCGGGGCGGGACCCGGACCCCCCCCCGGGATCCCCGCTTCCACGGCCGCCCCCCGTGGAGACAGCGGACGGCGCCCCCCGCGGCGGCCCGCTGGACTCCCCAATATGGCCCCCGTCCTCATGGCGACCCCGTGGAAACCGCGCATGGCGCCCCCGGGGCGGCACCAGCTTACCAGCCTGGAACAGATCCCCATCCCCATGCTGGGCACCTCCTCATCACGATGCCAATCTTAGGGGTTCCCCTATTTTTTGAGGGCGGATCCCTAAGATTGTCATCGCCTTTTGGCGTATCAATCTTAGGGATAGGGACACGTTCGAGGCTGGTAACCAGTGACCCCCCGGGTGGGTCCCGTCTCCACGGCGGCCCCGTCTGTGATGGCCCCGTGGCAACGGCGCGCGGCGCGCCCGGAGCGGCCCCTGGACTCTCCGGTGGTCCCCGTGTCCATGGCGGCCGCACGGAAACGGCTCCAAGCCAAACGCCCCTTGCTCTATTTACCATTCCTGCCGACACATCCCTCTGATTCTTCTTCCTTCATTTCACACGTTACACCGCACTGCAGACGTCCTCCCCTGCGTGCGACGACGACCGGACGGTGTGATTGGGTGCTGCTGCGTGGGATGATGATGATGATGATGATGATGATGATGATGATGATGATGATGATGATGATGAGGAGGAGGAGGAGGAGGAGGAGGAGGAGGAGGAGGAGGGAGGAGGAGGACGAGGAGGAAGAGGAGGAGGAGGACGAGGAGGAGGAGGAGGAGGAGGAGGAGGAGGAGGAGGAGGAGGGAGGAGGAGGAGGAGGAGGAGGAGGCAGGAACCTGGGCATCCAGCGCGACAGGGCAAACCACCACGTTCCCCTCGGGACTGCCACGGGCGTGCCGCCTCGCGGGGGCCCACGCGACAGCGATGTGCACTGGCCAGGGCCCCCCAAATACAGCGCGGTGCCAGGGCTTGGGCCCGCTGTGATGGCATGCGGTTGGCTGGTAGTTGGAATCACTGTGGGGGCGCCTGCGACTACGAACATCATGCTGCGCGGCGGATCTTGGACCACACCGCGCCCCATGCGCGCAGCACCGCTTGCGGATACCAGCGCGCAGCCAGACGCAGTCGGGTATATCCAGGAACACGGCCAAGCAGGATTACGTACGATGCGCATGCACTCCCAGCTCTCCAAGGCGGACTTGTTGTACCACCGGGTAGGGTGCAGGTGGAACATACGATTGCGCCAGCCCCCAGGTCTAACACTGCGAGTTGGGACTCCCCCTCTGGCCTACGCGGAAGAAGGCCTTGGGTTGGAATGAATGCGACGGCATGCAGTATTATGTTACGTACCATAGACATTCATACTAGCCCGTTTGGTTGTGTGTGTGTGTGTCGGCATTGCCCTTTCTACACAAAGCGGGGATGGTGGGACAGGCAGGGTCACAATATAACACTTGCGGCCCGTTTGTTCCTCCCTTCCCCCTTTCCCCTTTGAAGTTTATCCACCTAAGGTGAACATCGAAATACCGACCAAGTACGCCGAACGCCGGGTCATACATCGACAACGGCGGCAATATACGGTTCTTCGCCCGCGTCCTCAGCAGTATCTCCGACTCCTGCTTCCGACCCCAGTACTTCTCCAATCCCTAATCGACAGATTTCGCGTTCCGACCCTAGTAGGCCCTAGCTCCTGTCTGCCCGCGCGTTCTGATAGCGTCACGCACCTCACTCCGACTCTGGCTCTGACCCCGCATTTCATCGACAATCCGACTCCGGTGTCTCCCATCCCGACCCCTGGTCCGACTTCTGATCCAAGTTGTCCCATTCCGATCGGCTTCGTCTCCAAATCCCATGTGAACTTTGTAATTCGGCGTTTCGACACTGGGCGGAAGGGGGGGGGGGAGGGGGGGGGGTCTGGCTCTGGACCTCTTCTTAGTGCGACTGTTTGGAACCGTGCGTCCTATGGGGGAGACCCCACCTGCTTGAAACAGGCGCCTAAAACAGCCAAGATCTACTCCATGGGGGGGGGGGAGGGGGAGGGTGCGAGGGCCCGTGCCGATCGGCCAACAAAAAAACTATCACTATCACGAATCCGACTGCGGTGTTTCCCACTCCGACTCTGGTTCCGACACCAGCTTCTCCTGCTCCGACTCCAGCTCCGACCCCAGATCCCACCCCTTATGGATTTCCCGTTCTTCCAACTCTGGGTCCAACTGCGATTTCTGATCTTGCCTGCCTAACTTCCGGGGCCGATCCAAATACAGAGTCTTGCAGGAAGGCCCAAAGCAGTTCTGCTAATGGACTGCCCCATTGAGGCCTGCATTCAAGATCCCAACGCACTGCGCATACCGACGCTCAGAAGATAAGCCCCGACAAAAGGCCCCATAGAGTTCCCTACGCAAGCATTTGCAAGGCCCCCGACGCGAGCCCAGACCGAGGCCCCCATGCAGGCCCCTGCTCAGGACCTTGTGGCGTTGTTGGCTCCGGCAAAAAAATCCCCAGGTAAAAGTCCAATTCAAATGCTGATGCTGATGACACGTCCATCGTCGCCGACGGCGGTATCACCACCAACATTTACGGCATCTGCGTGGACGCCTACATCGTAGACAACACTCCGACACCAGAATCGACCCTGGCTATGGCAGCGCCTCCACGTCAACCAATACTTGCGTATACATTGATGACACTCCTGGCGGCACCGGGGTTGATGGTATCCATGATACAGCTGTGGTGATACTGCACAAACACCACTCCTATATCCTCGCACCGGCTAAGTACGAAACACTTGTGCGGGATCAACTTATGCATCTACGAAGTTGTAGTCAACCGCCCCGTGAAATGCCTACCACATTCAAGCAAGTATTCGTGTGCGGTATGCTCGAGTCGTATGGGGATGCCTCTTGTATGATGTTACGCCAGAGCTCGATTCTTATAGTTAACGCGCGCGGAGCGGCCCCTGGGGGTCCCCGGATGAAACGTACCCCGGGCGCAGCCCGGGCGCAGCCCCTCAGAGATGGTGTTCCTCCGGGGTGCGGCCTTTCAGGCCCCCCAATAGCGCTCCAAGAGGGACCAAAAAGGCCCCCAAGACGGTCCAAGAGAGCTCTGAGTGACCGAATGACCAGTCCAAGACGCCCAAGATGGCCTCCAGACGGCACAGAACGCCTTCAAGACGCCCCCAGAAGCCTCCAAGAGGCCTCCCCAAACGGCCTCTAAAGGCAAAAACTAATAATTGTCAGTTAATGTTTGAAGGAGTTTGGCATTCTCGCCTTTTCGGCTTACTGGCGCTGCAAGACGGCCCAGGAGGCACCAAAAATCACCCCAACACGGCCCAAGAGGCCTCCAAGAGCGCCCCCGAACGGCCCCAGAGGGCCCCAAGAAAGCCCCACAGGCCTCCAAGATGGCCCAAGAGGCCCTCAAGACGGCTCCAAGAGCGGGCCCAGACGGGGGACCCGAACGGACATTTCGAGCTCTAGGCCCCGAGAAGTCCCCTGGAGGCCTCAAGAAGCCCCCAAGAGGCCCCCGAGAGGCCCTAAAAGATCCCCAAGAGGCTTCTAAGAGGCCTCCAAGAGACCTCCGTGAGGCCCCAGGAACACCGCGAAGATGTCCCCGAGATGCCTCCCAAGAGACCCCAAGACGCCTCCCAAAGAGGCGTCTTGTCCACGACCAAGGTTGGCCCCAAAATGCCTGAAGAAGCCATCGAGGGACCTCCGACTCCTCATCCCCATCCTCCCCATCTTCCTCCTCTTCTTCCTTATCCTCCGTCCGCCTCCTCCTCCTCCGCCTCCTCCTCCTCCTCCTCATCCTCCGCCACCTCTTCCTCCTCCTCCTCCTCCTCGCTCGCCACGAGCATGCCAACATATAGCACCAGTGTCTCAACATGGGCCGGCGGAATGAGCGAAACGATTCAATAACATGAAAAGTGGTTTGCGCCTCCTTGGGGCCACTGCCACGCCCGAGGAAACCTTGGCCATGCGAACGTCCATCTAGCAGGCTTCGCGCTCGCGTGGCCGAGGTCTCCGGCCTGCTGGGTGGACGTTCGCGTCACCGAGGCGTCTAGCCTGCTGGGTGGACGCTCGCGTGACCTAGGCCTCCAACCTGCCATGTCTCTGGCGTGCTGAGTGGACGTGCGCGCGTCGATTCCAGTCGCAAGTCAGGGACTAAGTTTCGGGCCCTGGGACCCACGAGCGTGCATTTGGCAGGTTGGAGACCTCAGTCACGCGAACGTTTACCCAATAGGCTGGAGACCTCGGTCACGCGAACGTCCACCCAGCAAGCCAGAGACCTCGCTCCCGCGAACGTCCACCCAGCAGGCCTGAGACCCTGTCCAGCTCCAGCGCCTCCAAGCCTCGCCCTTGGAACGCATTTGCGAGTGCTAACCGCTTCGGCCTGCTGCTCACTGCCAGGCTGCCTGGTGATTTTGAACCTGGTGGCGAGCCCCCAATGCCAGCAAGAAACTCACGATAATGAAAGACATGAAATTGTGCGTGCATGCAGGCGTGCGCCCACGCGCGTTACGCCACGAACACTTTCCATCGCACCTGGATCGATGACACAAATCGCTCGGCTTAGACACATATCCGAGTTCCCGAGCGCATGCTCCGCCACCCTCCAGACAGAAGTTCGACAGCCCAACTAGCCAGAGGGGTGAACAGATCTCTGGTAACTGGTTAACAATATTCCTAGTTCGGAACGGCCCCTCGGGGTCCCTGGGCGAAAAGCACCTTGGCAAGGTCTCGGGAAACTCAAGTCAAAGAGGGTTTTCCTCCTGGGTGCGGCCTTTCAGGCCCCCCAGAGCGCGCCAAGACGGCCCTCGAAGGGCCTAAGACGCCCAAAGGGCCCTAATAAGCCACCAAACCTTAATTTTCGATTCTGGTGGCTCACCAAAACAACAGATTCCGAACATCCTCCAAGACGTCCCAAGACATTCCTCAAGGCGGCCCCAAAAAAAACCTCGGGACTGCCCACGAAGCTCCACAACGACCAAAGGAGTCAGCAAGACAGCCCCACAGGCGATTTTGGACGACTTGGAATACATGTTGGGCCGATTCGAAGACAATTTCAAAACGAGTGTGGGACGCTTTCGGGACGATGTTCTTCCTTCATACTGCAAAGAATGTTTTTTTCAACGCTAATCAAAACATAGATCGGACGGCCCCAAAACCACCCAAACAGGCGCCAAGACCACTGCGCGCTTCTGAAAGAAAGGGTCGGCGGATGCGGCGCAAGTCCGAAGAATCAGCGTCTGGAGGGGACGTGCTGAGCGGCAGCGTTTTCCGGCGAACGCCTTAACGCAACGGATCCAATGTGTCCAATGCTTGCACAATTTCCACATCTTGTACTGTGTTACACTACCACGTCTCCCCCCTCACCCCACCCGGAGTCGCGCCACATCCGTCAACCTTCACGTGACGGACCACTTCTGGGCTTCAAAATCGACAAAAACCTATTGAAAATAGATGATTTGGCCCCCTGGGGCCTCTTGGGGGTCCATGAGGGCGCCCAGGCACCTCGAGATGGCCTCATGACGGGCCAAGACGACCCCAAGACGTGCCAACATGGCCCCAAGAGGGCCCAGTTTGAAGGGGGCTGGTCAGCCCGTCCAGAAACTACGCCTTAGGCGAACCGCAGTTCCAGCTCTGTTGTATCGTAGTAACGATAGTCCCAGTCGAAGGAGGTCGTCGCGGGAGCGACGGGCCATCTCAAGTGAAGGATGTTTTCGGTTTCGATGGCGAGTAGCATGCCTCGCAATGAGGCACAATCAAATGTTGGCGGCCAGCCGCTTGAGCACAAACGGCCGCGGACAAACGCTCGCTATCTCTCGCCGCTGTCCCAGCTCACTTTAGAGTCGGGGGGGTCGGGAGACGAAACGTGAGTCCGCCGCCACTATACAGCAGATACTCTGTACAAACATGCAGCAGAAGGCGGGGCCGTACAGAAGGTTGACCCGCAAGCAAGTTGCCTTGCAAGAACATTGCTGTGCATGCGATTACTCGTCAGGCGGCTACAGACCAAGTTGTCTGGCCAGCCCGATAAGGAGCATGACGCTTTAAATCATGCTTGAAGGATTGCGTACCTCCCATGGCCTGTAGGAGCATATCTCTATCAATGCTCCCCCTTGTGTGGCCGTCCGCGGTCATGTCGCGAGCGTCACACCACTGAATGCTATACACGGTTCCTCGCTCCATAATCTGTCGTATCCAACTGATGTGTCCTAAAAGAATACACTCAGTCGGCATGTTCAGGTTTTGCTTGCCAAGGACTTGAAAACATATTCAGCATCTATGGTCAAAGTGACCTTAATGCTCAGGCCACCCACCTCATGTATGTCTTTCAA